TGTAGACCTACCCATTTTCCATTTTCAGGTAGATTGACCGATATAAACCAATCGACTTATAATTTTATGTCGATGAAAAATACATGCTGTGGAAATGAGCTATGTTTTCTTTCTCTTTCTCTAAACAAAATTATCATGGTGTTAATATAAAATGTTTACCCTAATGACTTACATTTTCCCCAACCATAATTAATGAATTATAAAAATAACTGACAATTAAATCTATTGTAGATCACATTAGTTAAAAGGGTTTTTTTTTCACTGGCTTAACACTCACCCAACTTGTTTGGGATTTTCATTTATTGCTAATGTTCTCATCTAATTTAAAACAAACCGTCACAGACGTAAATGTGAGTTTTTTGTTTCTGTGTCAACTACGCCAGAGATACGGTAAGTAACCTTTTCAGCATCCATAACGTCATCAATCGGGGCTTTTGTTTTGCTAGCTACATTGTACACAAATTGTTTTTGTTGTTGTCGTAGTTTGTTGGGTTTTTGTCTCTATTTTGCAATTTTATTAGGGTTTTTTCCTTCACAATGCCATGTTCTAGCAGCTAAAGTGTGGGTCCGAGAGGCCGATCGGCGTGAGCAGGCAAGCTGACTGACAACATGGTTAGTTCTTGATTGGCCAGCTGTAAAATCCAAAGTTTGAAGCTAGTAAAAGCTTGATAAATGTTAGCCTTCATATTTATTAGTTTAGTTTGTTTTTGCCGGTTAAGCGTGTAACATAACGAACAATTTCAAGAGTAAAAATAAAATGTAAAAATAATATCGATTTTAATTGGTGATCGTAACGAACAAAAAAATCAAATTATTGTGATACCAAAAGTTATTATTTAAGTTCAAATAGTTTCTATATCAAAGGTGATAAATATATTTATATTGTTAACAAAAATATATATACGAATGTCGAAAAGAAACGTTAAAAGTAAATGTAGCGAAATAACTTTTGAAAATGTTTCGGGGTTGTGGTTTCCATATTGTATAAGAGGTCAATGATTTGTAGAGTTTTGGTTTGGCGCTTTGTTAGTTCTTTTTAATTTTCAATAACATATTGACTAACGTCACTTCTTGCTACTCATTTTGGTAAGTAATGAATATTTGTTTTTTTTTATACCCTACACCACAAGGTGGTCAGGGTATTATGTCTTTGTGCATTTGTTTGTAACAGGCAGAAGGAAACGAGATAGACCCATAGTTCCTTTTGATGATCTGCATAGAATCACATTCTGAGTCGATTTATGCATGTCCATCCGTCCGTCCGTCTGTCCATGTATTTTTGTAAACAAAGTACAGGTCGCATTTATTGCCCGATCCAGATGAAATTTTGCAAAGGTCTTTTGTTTGGCCTAAGGACGAACCCTATTGAAATTGGAGATAATCGGTCAAAATTTGGATATAGCTCCCATATATATCTTCGTCCGATTTGACTTTTATTGTGCACCAAACGTGTAATATCAGCCCGAATTGTATGGAATTTTGCACATACACCCATATTAGGCCTGAAAATATGTATGCCAAATTTGATCGAAATCGGTTCAGATATAGCTATAGCTCCCATATATATTGTTCATCCGATTTGTTATTTTTGTCCTCCGCAGCCGTAATATGCACTATGCAACAACAATATTTGGGGAAATATATCAAATACAGCTCAGAAATACATTTGCTAAATTTTATCGAGATCGGTTCAGATTTGGATATAGCTCCCATATATAACATCGTCCGATTTACCTTTTATTGTGCACCAAACGTCTAATATTTGTCCAAATGGGATGGAATTTGGCACTTACGACCGAATTGAGTCTAGTAGCTAGTATGTCAAATTTGGTTCAGATCGGTTCAGATATAGTTATAGCTTCCATATATATTATTCATCCGATTTGTTATATTTGGTACCCACAACCGTAATATGCACTCTGTAACAACGATATTCAGGGAAATATATCAAATACAGCTCAGAAATATCGTTGCCAAAGTTTATCGAGATCGGTTCAGATTTGGATATAACTCCCATATATATCTTTATCCGATTTCAAATTAATTGTGCACCAAATGGGCAATACAATTCCGAATTTAGTCCTTTGAACTTTAAATTATAATTATAATCATAGCGTGTATGATTGAATTCTCCCATAGAAACTTTTAATTGTTATGTGGAGCTCTACTTAATTAGCAAAGTGGTGTAGGGTATCATAAAGTCGGCGCCGCCCGACTTTAAGACTTTCTTTACTGGTTTCTTCTTCTTCAATTGAAATAATGAATTGCAAAACTAAATTGGTTAAAAATATTCAAGTAGTGGTGGGAGAAAAACAAAATTACTAGTAGAGTAAAAAATCTGAATGGGAAATATTCAAAAGTTTCAATCTGTATATAATCAATTTTTCATTTCATCCGGAACTCTTTAAATTTTTAATTTCTTTAATCCGAATCAGTGTGTTGTTTAAATTTCTTCTATAAAAAAAACAGCAGAATATGAAACAGAAGTAAAATCTTTTGGTAATTCTCGGATTAGAACTCCTCGGAATCCATGCATTTTAGGTGTATAATGTCTTCAGCTATACAGGGTGACATAAAAAACTGCAACAAAGTCAAACGCCATAATTTTTATATATTTTTTTTTAAATTTTATTGAATGAAAGAAAGAAATGTCGGAAATAGTATCAAATTGTAGTATAAGTTTAGATTTGTTCGAATTGGTCACATTTGGCATGAATTATGGCCTTCAAACGGCCAATGAAACCGTCACACGTTACCCGAATATTGCTCTGCGGTATTTTGACCCATTCCCCGCAAAGCGCTTGTGCCAACCTTGCTTTCCAAAATACTCCGGAGACAATAGTCCAACGGATTGGTAACCGAAGATTTTGGTGGTCGTTGTGCGCTGGAAATGAAGCGAGGAACCTCATTTTGTAACCATTCTTGGGTGGTGCTTGCTAACTGCGATGGTGCTGAGTCCTGTTGGAATGTCCAAGGTCTGCGGCCAAAATGTGTGCGTGACCAAGGCTTTAATATACCCTCCAGAATATTTTTTCCATAATATTTGACATTTATTTTGATGCCACGGTCGATTAATACGAGCGGAGAACGACCATCGGCTCTTATGGCGGCCCACACCATCACCATGACCGGCGCTTAAATTCTGGTGGCCAACCGAAGGTGCACATTTTCAGCTGACCTCTTTTTGTAAGTTCTTGCACTTTTTGGAATTTCAATGGCTCTACCCCGAGCTCATTTTTCAATATTTGCCTAATAAAACATTGCGATATGCTTAGCTCAGGAGCCTTTTTCGGCCAATCGCTTCTTTACTTTTCGAACAACTTTTGCTAACGAAGCTGTTTTCTTCCGTCCACTTCCTTGAGGTCGGGCTACGCTACCAGTACCACGGTAACGAACGATGGTACGAGACACAAAAGATTTATTCATACTTAAATGCTGGAGTGCTCTGACGATATCCACTTGTGGTTTTCCAGTCAAATATAAAGAAATTACACTATCACCCTTGAATTCGATCACGAATAACTTTCTTCTGTAAAATCCTCACCAAAATGCTTTAGTACGCTTGTAACCAATATAATGAGCTGTCACTGGAATACTTTTAACAGCTGTTGGACGAGTGGCTTAAAAATGACAGCAGTCTGAAATCGGTTGCAGTTTTTTCATCTCTCCCTGCATTAATTATTCTAACAAATTGGAAAATACTTAAACTAATAATAATATTACCAAATAGTATTAACTGATTTGCTCATCTTCTTCCCTCAACCATTTACACCATTTGCATCTATATCTAAATCTGAACTGATCTTGATGAAATTTGGTAAATGTATTTCTGGGGTGTATCTGATTTAAAATATAATTGTTGTGCAGTGCATATTACTCCACATTAAACCCCAAATCGGATGAAACGTATATATGGGAGCTATAGCTTTATCTGAACCAAATTTGAAGTACATGCATCTGGGCTGAATTCGATCGGATGTGCCGAAACCTATCCCATTTGGACGAATATTACACATATAGTGCGCAATAAAATTGAAATCGGACGAAAATATATATGGAAGCTATATCTAAATTTGAACCGTTATGCAGCAAAATTACCAGACAAACTTCTGGACTGAACTTGGCCTTCTGTGTTAAAATTCATTTGATTTGGACTGGTATTTTAATTTGGCGCTCAATACTTATGAAATCGAATTACACCATATCCAAATCGGATTCGATTATCACCAATTTCAAACAAATTATTTGTGGAAAATTTCATCTCAATAAAACAATTTATGCGATCTGTGCTTTTTTTAGAGAAATGCGTGGATAGACGAAGGGGCATGCAGAAATCGACTCAGAATATACATGAACAGACGAAAGGACATGCATTAATCGACTCAGAATGTAATTCTATAAAGAGATCATCAAAAGGAACTATGGGTATATTTCCCACTTACAATAATTGTTTATCAGTTGTACAAAATTTAGAACCATTCGGTATATCTGTACGCCTGCCTTTCAAAAATCGACACAAAATATAAATTCAGAAAACATTTTTTTTTCATAATTCTTACTCTATTTGTTCTACAAACATCAATGGGATTTTTGTACAGCTTCCTTCGAACTTCTAAAACCCTTTCTTCATTTCAAATCTCTATATCAATAGGGAAATCTCCATATCCAGGATGTAGATACTGCTAATAGGCTCTCGTAACGCTCAAACATCAATTGTAAAACTTCTTCACTTTTTTTACACGCAGTTTTTTTGCACACCTCACCAACTCAAAACTAGCTTCGTTTTTGTTGTCGTCATTTGGTACCACCAAACTCCAAAAGTGTTAATTAACGACGACATCATTAAGAGCAACGACCTGCTGGGCAAAACAAAAAATACACTCGTCATTCAAACGCTCTAGAAGCCAACTATATATTTATACCCATTTTTAAATGTTGTTTGTTTCTAATAAAATATTTAATAACAATTTCGTTTCTTGCAAATTTTCTTATCGTTACAGATGCCGCAGACAGGCTGCTTAGTAGTACAAAATCCCTCATCTATTTCCACTGCATCAGTGCCAGTCCAAAGTAATTTTAATTTTAAATTGGAACTACAGCAAGAGGAACAACAACATTTCTCTGCTGCGAATAACAGCAACAGCACAGCAACAACAACGAACGATCCCTATGCCACATATACTGATAATTTTGATCTATCGCTACTACCTCAAGATTGCTGTGCTGACACAGCTACAAACACAACAAAAGCCGAACCGCAATCATCATCACATGTACCGGCAGTAACGAATGCTCCACATTCATCGACAAATCTCATAGATAGTATACCAACGACAGTTTTCAATTTCGACAAAACGGCGACGGATCACAAAAATACGCAATTGTTGACCGTGCCCGATATTAAGGTGGAACAGACGTGGTCTTCGTGCCCCTCACTAAATACGATCAAGCAGGAACAAATCTATCAGAGTTATTTTCCCGCTAATAATCAGCAACAACAACGACAACAACAGCAACAACAACTCATTGCTCCGCCTCCCGCATATCCCGCGCATATCTATCCATCGCCACAATCTAGCCCAGCTCAATCCGAATACGCCTTTCCCCAAACACAATTTTCCGGTTGCTACGAGTCTTTGGGATCTTCACACAACTCCCTGTATGGCACAGCCTGCTCACCGTGTCCCTCAATCAAACAAGAACAATTGCACATTTTGCCACCCTCCCCGCCAGAATCCAGCTGTGATACACCCACACCACATTCGGCAAGCAGCTGTGCTAGCAGCAGTGTTGGTTTCGATTTCAAATCAGAACCTTTCGATTCGGATGTTGAAACGTTTCAAGATTTGAAAAATTCCCCCTCGAACACAACAGACACAACAGTGCCATCCAACCGTGCTCAGGCATCGGCCCAACGGCATTTCCAATGTCCAACGGACCACCAAGTATTACGTGAATATTTGGAGGATACAACGTTCCAGAGGAAACACAATCTGAAACCTTTGGCTCTGGATTCGTTTATTGGTGCCCTGGAAGAGGTTCGTGATAATTTCGAACCGGTCATTTCATTGGCTTTGGAACATGCCAAACGTGAGGCCGATGCTATCTGCGCTAAATTGCAAATATCTCAAGGTGAGTGACCTTATCCTGTCCAATAATTGCTTGAGAAATGGTTTAGTGGGTAGTTTAAAGAAATGTCAAATCATTAGTCATACAGAAGTAATCATATTCTTCGTATACACCAAAACCTGAGAAACAATTGTATAAATTTGTAATAAGTTTTGTTTTTTTCCATTTTGATCTTTTCTTGGAAATTCTAGAGAGTTGTTTATTAAGATCCTAGACGCAATTCCTTAGTTGACTATTTCCTTGTATTTTTAAAGGGTTGGCATCAATACACCAAAACCTAAAGCCGTTACCATTTTCGACCTTTAAAATCCACTTCTAACTACATAGTATGTTCTAAGATCTTGGGTACATTTTTCCAGTTGACTGTATACTCAAATTCCGCGAAATTTTCTAAAAGACATTAAACCTTGAAGATGACGTTTTATTGAGTTTAGGTGTCAGCGATTTTTATACATAATCGCAAGAACCAAAACTTTGGCTTCGGGAGCAAATTGCAATTTTTATATATTTTTACAGTGTAATTTGTACATATTTAACATCGAAATTTCACATTGGAAACACTTATATTTTCAAGTAAATGGTTAATTTGACCCAAACCCTTGCAGTATCTTAAATCACGATGTTTTTTATATGGGTTGTACCGGCCGATTATGTACCGGGTACTATGTTTTTTTATTTTTATGTAACATTATCTGCATAGAATCACATTTTGAGTCGACTTATGCATGTCCTTCCGACCGTCCGGGTGTCAAAGTACAAGTCGTATTTATTTCCCGATCCAAATAAAATTTGCACATGTCATTTGTTTGGCCCTAGTACATGCCCTATTGAAATTGGAGATAATCGGTCAAAGTTTAGATATAGCTTCCATACAGGGTGAGATAAAAAATAACTGCAACAAAGTCAAATGCCATAATTTTTAATTCTTTTTTAAATTTTATTGAATGAAAGCCAAAATGTCGGAAATATCATAAAATTTTAGAATAAGTTTAGATTTTTTCGAATTGGTCATCTTTGGCACGAATTATGGCCTTCAAACGGCCAATGAAACGGTCACAGGCTGCCCGAATGTTGCTCTGCGGTATTTTGGCCCATTCCCGGCGAAGCGCCTGCTTGATCTGATCTACACTTTGGTAGTTTTTAGTGCGAACCTTGCTTTCCAAAATACTTCAGAAAAAATAGTCCAAAGGATTAGTATCCGGATATTTTGGTGGCCATTGTGCGCTGGAAATGAAGCGAGAAACCTCATTTTGTAACCATTCTTGGGTGGCATGTGCTGAGTGCGAAGGTGTTGAGTCCTGTTTGAATGTCCAAGGTCTGCGGCCAAAATATTTGCATGCCTAAGGCTTTAATACACCCCTATCAGAATATTTTCGCGGTAAATTAATGCGAACGGAGAGCGACCATCGGTTGCACACCATCACCATGGCCGGTGTTGAGTTTAGGTGGCCAACTGAAGGTGCACATTTTCAGTTGACCTCTTTGGCAAGTAAACACGATCATTTTGTTTCTTTATAAACTGCTGGACAACAAATGTTTTCTCATCGGAGAAAACCATATTCAGCAGTTTACCACTTTCGGCCAAGCGAAGCAACTCTTTAGCTCTTTTGAGTCTATTTACTTTCTGTTGCGGTGTAAGTTCTTACACTTTTTGGAATTTCATAGCTCTACCCGAGCTCATTTTTATACCCTACACCACATAGTGGTAAGGGTATTATGTCTTTGTGCATTTGTTTGTAACATGGAGAAGGAAACGAGATAGACCCATAGTTACTTTTGAGAACCTTCATAGAATCACTTTCTGAGTCGATTTATGCATGTCAGTCCGTCTGTCCGTCCGTCCGCCCGTCTGTCCATGTATTCTAGTGAACAAAATGCAGGTCGCATTTATTATCCGATTGAGATGAAATTTTCCAAACAATATTTTTTTTGGCCCAAGGACGAACCCTATTGAAATTGGTGAGAATCGGATCAAATTTAGATATAGCTCCCATATATATCTTCATCCGATTTCGGGTTAAATGAGCACCAAATGCCACTATCAGTCCAAATTACCTGAATTTTGGCACACCCAACCGAGATCGGCCTAGAAGCAAGTATATCAAATTTGGGTTTCGATCAAGTCGCTTCGTTACTTTTCGAACCATTTCTGCTGATGTTGCTGTTTTCTTCCGTCCACTTCTTTGACGTCGGGCTACGCTACCAGTAACACAGTAACGAGCGATGGTACGAGACACAAAAGATTTATTCATATTTAAATGCTGGAGTGCTCTAACGATAGCCACTTGTGCTTTTGTACACTTGTAAAGAATATAATGAGCTCTCACTGGAATAATTTTAACAGCTGTCGGACGAGTGGCTAAGAAATGGCGGCAAGTCGCTTCTTTACTTTTCGAACCATTTCAACTGATGTTGCTGTTTTATTCCGTCCACTTCCTTGACGTCGGGCTACGCTACCAGTATCACGGTAATGAGCGATGGTACGAGACACAAAAGATTTATTCACATTTAAATGCTGGAAGGCTCTAACGGTGCACTAAATTGTTAATATAAGTCCAATAGATTTTGACACATATGACCGAATTTAAGCTGGAAGCAAGTGTTTCACATTCGGTTCTCATATAGCTATCGCTCCTATTTATGCTGTTGTTACCATTTTTGTTCCCCACAGCCGTAATATGCACTCTAAAACAACGATATTTGTTGCAAGCAATTAGATGCAGTATGAAAATATATATGTGCTAATTTTTTTAGAGATCGGCCAGATTTGGATATTGCTCCCATATATTTTTTATCCGATTTCACGTTTATTGTGCAAAAAGTGTATTATAAAAATCCCATATATTTGTTACTTTTGTTCTCCAATTATAATTGATCTAAAGCCATACTAAACATTCAGAAACGATCATTGTTCGTATGATCTACTTCACACAAATTCCCAATATCAACCTATATTTGTTACGAGAAGCTCTACTAAATATGAAAAGTGGTGTACGGTATCATAAGTCGGCCCTGCCCGACTTTTGGCCTTTCTTTACTGTCTTCAGAAATATTTTCCGAGACCAGAGTAAGATAGATATACCCAGAGCGATTAATGGCGATAGATATAAGTGCTAAAACATGTAGAGTAATGAGTGCGGTCAAATTTAATATAATTATATTGCCTTCTATCACAACAAGAGTTTGTTGGTATTTTTTATCTTTTCAAATTAAAATAAAAAAATAAACTACTTTAGATTTCTTATGATTGATTAGTAATGAATCATAGTGAAAATGTTAACAAATGCTCTGCAAACGAATTCACACTTTGAGTCACGTATATGGTTTGAACTACAATGACCTTAACATACCAATTAGTGGCGTGGTTTTTCATATTTTATTGTTATAATTCTTATTTGAATGACTCAAACTAACGGCTAGGCTAGAAGGTCACATTTTAGTTCTGCATAGCTTTATTTTAACGATACTTCATATGAAATTTTATTTTCTAGATCCCTCTGATTGGACACCACAACAAGTTCATGCATGGTTACGATCCACCATACAACAATTCGATTTGCCAATTATTGAGAATTTGGAAAATAAATTCAATGAGAGTGGAGCGGCTCTGTTGCAATTAACCGAAGAAGAATTCATTCGTAGAATACCCGAGGTGAGTAAGAACTACTTTGAATTAATGAATTGATAAACTATTTATTACATAAACTCAAAATCTTAAGATTGTATAACAGAAGATATTATAGAATTCCACGAATGGAGACATAAACATACAAATTATCTTCAAAGATGGTATCAAATTTGCATTTCACGCACACAGACACACATATACAAAGATAAAAAGACAAGGTCGTATCACTATGAAATGGCGCGGCCATAAACCAAAAGAAACCGCAAAAAACACCACCATCACTTGCCAGCTATGTGTATAGAATGAAACAAAAAATACAACAAATACAAATTCCCCTTATATCTCCCCAAAAACATTAACAGATACCACAATCGGTAACAGCCAGAAGAAATTCATGAATTGTACAAAACAAAAACAAAAAACATAAGTTATGAAATCTTTTAGCTGACGTCATTTGGACGCATTAACGGAGTTGGGCCAAAACGAAGAAAAAAATCAACAAACAAAGAAACCAACTCAAAGAGAGGGTAAGGAATATGATTAAAAAATACGGAGTAATAAACAAACTAAATGAAAGTAAAATAAAGCTTTCTTTTGTAAAAGCCAACCAACAACTCTCCCTTTATTGTTCAGAGAGAAAGAGACGAGAAGAGAAAGGTGAGAGAATTGAGCATGGTTAGGAAACCTTTTTTGGGAAACCAAAACAAAAGCAATGAAATTACTTTCAAAATAAAACGATGAATAGTAGATGCAAAGAGAGCAAAGACTTAAGATACAAACGTGATAAACACAAAAGACTTAAGGCACATGCATCAATTTAAAAACAAAAACAACAACACACTTCCCCCACGAAATTTAAATTGAATTTGTGGCATTAATGTGGTACTGTCCATGTGCACTCTTCAAAGTAAGCACAAGGAAAAGGTCGAAAAAGTAAACGAAAACCTGGAGTTAGTAACCATGGTCATGGCTGGCTGTTGAATGCCAAAGAAAGAATGTTGTGAAGGTTGTTTAGTGAAAACGTCAAGGTAAACGATGCACTCGTTATACGACAGAGGTATGGCAAGTTTGAGAAATATTGGTGTGATATAGTGAAGAAATTAAGTAATTTACATGAGGAACATTCGGAGTCTGATAAAATCTGCGATTCAAGGTCTTGTATGCTCAAATGAAAGAAGTAATTATACAACTTTAAATTACGATAGAACATGACAGAATACATTGGTAACGCCTTATAAAGTTTTTCCTTCCTACGCCCACTATAATAAATTATGCTGAAATCTTCAGTATAACACATATATGCCAAGACCAGGATGAAATTCACAATATTCAAAAGCCAACACATTTGAATTTTTCTGGAAAGTCTACAAATGTGAATGAAAATGTGAAAGCTAGATGAAGGTGACCCAGTAACAAAGTGAAGTTTTGATGTAATTTTTAAAAGGGCTTTTATAAGAAATTTCTAATTAATTTAACATTTCTGAAATTTAATAGTTTATGTACATTTTTATATTTTTATACCCTTTTAATAGTTTATGTACATTTTTATATTTTTATACCCTACACCACAAGGTGGTCAGGGTATTATGTATTTGTGCATTTGTTTGTAACAGGAAGAAGGAAACGAGATAGACCCATAGTTCCTTTTGATGATCTGCATAGAATCACATTCTGAGTCGATTTATGCATGTCCGTCCGTCCGTCTGTCCATGTATTTTTGTAAACAAAGTACAGGTCGCATTTATTGCCCGATCCAGATGAAATTTTGCAAAGATCTTTTGTTTGGCCCAAGGACGAACCCTATTGAGCTAATCGGACCTTGGAGCTAATCGGCCAAAATTTAGATATAGCTCCCATATATATCTTCGTCCGATTTGCTTTTTATTGTGCACCAAACGTGTAATATCAGCCCGAATTGTATGGAATTTTGCATATACACCCAAATTAGGCCTGAAAATATGTATGCCAAATTTTATCGAAATCGGTTCAGATATAGCTATAGCTCCCATATATATTGTTCATCCGATTTATTATTTTTGTCCACCGCCGCCGTAATATGCACTCTGTAACAGCAATATTTGGGGAAATATATCAAATACAGATCAGAAATACATTTGCTAAATTTTATCGAGATCGGTTCAGATTTGCATATAGCTCCCATATATAACTTCGTCCGATTTACCCTTTATTGTGCACCAAACGTCTAATATTTGTCCAAATGGGATGGAATTTGGCACTTACGATCGAATTGAGTTTAGAAGTTAGTATATCAAATTTGAAGATCGGTTCAGATATGGCTATAGCTTCCATATATATTATTCATCCGATTTGTTATATTTGTTACCCACAACCGTAATATGCACTCCGTAACGACGATATTCAGGGAAATATATCAAATACAGCTCAGAAATATTTTTGCCAAATTTTATCGAGATCGGTTCAGATTTGGATATAGCTCCCATATATATCTTTATCCGATTTCAAATTAATTGTGCACCAAATGGGCAATACAATTCCGAATTTAAAAGATACAAATGCTTCGGCATATTTAGTCCTTTGAACTTTAAATTATAATTATAATCATAGCGTGTATGATTGAATTCTCCCATAAAAACTTTTAATTGTTATGTGGAGCTCTACTTAATTAGCAAAGTGGTGTAGGGTATCATAAAGTCGGCCCCGCCCGAATTTAAGACTTTCTTTACTGGTTATATTTTTTTTTTAGAATAATTTCGGAAGCTTACAAGGGGGATTTTTTATTTAAATTGAGAATGATATCGAGGAGCTTACAAAGGTCGATATATAAAGAATATTTGAATTTTGATCAAAGTGGATTTTAAGGTTTTAATTCTTTCCAAAAAAACAAATCCTTGAAAAGTCATAAAATACCGAGTATAGGGAGTTGTCGTTATGTTGGGTCCTCAAAAACATCAAAATTCTGAATATTGAGAGGTACCATTATATGGGAGCTATATACGTGGACTTCCACAGGCAAATTTCTATTCACAGGCTGTATTACTCGTTACGATCTTCAAATACGAAATTTGAAACAATTCTGGTGAATAATGCCGCTAAAATCATCAAACTTCCGAATATAGAGTGGAACCGATATATGGAGGCTATTCTAAGGCGTGGACCTGCACAAGGAATTTTTTGTTACAGAATGTAGTACCCGTTATGAAATTGGATTAAAATTGTGACTAAAATACCCCAAAAACTCTTAAATCTATCGGTACAGCCCGGTACTGCCGGTATAAAGCCCAATTTCAATACCAAAAGTCCTAAGGTCTCAACACACATCTGAGTAACTCTACTACTACTACTTTTTATTCGGAAGCTAGAGTGGTTTCCATAGACGGGGAGGTAGACAGACGGACATCCATCTGTAAATCGACATAGATTTGTATGCTTATCAAGAATATTTCCAGGTGTTAAAAACGGAATGACAAACTTAGGTAGAATAAGCTATAGTAAAGCGGGCCGAAGCATGCGATACCCTACAACACTGTAATATGTTGTTTCGTTTTAAAAATAACGCAAATGTTACATCTGATTTTTGACTGGTGACATTCAATCGGTACAATAATTTCACACAAACGTTTTGGGCCCTTTTGCCCTCTAAATTTAATCCAATGGTCAGTCAAAATGCTAGACTTCTGCTCTTTCCTAAACTCCAACCTCATGCGAAATCTTTTAATCGTGACTTATAGAGCGACTGCAATATTAGGAAAATTTAAAATTTTTGGTACATTTGAACTCCTAAATACACGTCTATACTATAAATAAATTGAATTTGATATAGATGTTTGTAACACTCCTATGATATCTAGTATTGAAAATGATCTGTCCACGTTTATGTATAGCCCCATATAACGGTAACTGCTGCTTTTCGGTTTTGCCTCAATTTCCCAACCAAAAGGTGTAAACATATCGGGTTCTCAATGAGTGATTTAACTCCTCGCAAAATTGTCAATGTTGGTCCACTTTTTGGTATAGCCCCAATCTAGCGGTACCTCCCAATTTTTGATATTTCAAAGGTTTCAACCAAATTAGCAACAAATTTATATTTCGGGTTCCCAGTAAGTAGTTGAACTTCTAACCAAATCAGCCATTACTTGACACAACGTTGTCCATATAATACACTTAAATATCTCCATAATTCAATAATGTTCCTTTCTCTATAAATGGTAGACATTTTAGATCCAAGTATGTACACCATTTCAAAATGCCTCTTATTCTTAAGAGCCCTCGTGTGGGTACTTCGCTACAACTCAGAGTTCTTTACGATTTTTATAATAATTGATAGAGATCCATTGTAGGTATTATCATATTATACCATTTTATCGAGACTTTTGGATAACTGAAAATATTTGTTTTTGAAAAAATGAATTTTTACCCTAGAATTAGTATTGGAAAGTTTTACAAAGTTAACTCGGATAAAACATTGCATCTGATCAATATGTTCAAAACACCTACCTGACTTTCAGAGAAACCCTCGTTCCAGAAGCAGCAACATCCAACGTATGTAGGTTGTTAGGCAAGTTTATTTGTTTGCAATCGTGGAGTGTTCAGTCCATCTATCTAACAACAACAATAGAATGCCATCATCACTGTCAAACAGATGTGTTTGTATTGTCTTAAACGTACGCCTAACATACATACACACATCCGAACACATGATAGTGGGCATATGCAGTTGAATGAAACCCTAAAGTACATTTAACCAGCAGCAGAAGCACAAGCTCAATATGCTTCTGGGCAGGCCATAATAAATGGACAAGCCTAGACTTGAGATTTCTGAATGAAACAAAAATCAAAACACAAACTAAGCCAACGACCAGCAACGACATTGCAAGGTGAAAGTGAGTCGCCCGCCGTCTTCATCGCCAGCAACAACAATAACAACATGAAAATGCAGAATATGGAGGGAGAGATGGAGGCCAGTCATTGTTGGCGTTGTTGTTGTTGTTACTATCGTCATATCAAAATCAACATTCTCATAATCATCGTCACCATCAGCACAACAAGCCAAGACGTTGTAAATGTAAACAACACACTGATCAGCGTTAAAAATAACTTCTTCTTCTTCTTTTTGTTTTGAATCATCCAGCCTAAAGCTTGAAAAGACTGCATACGAATGTGCATCGAAATGTTTATTTAACATTTTCCGGCATTGTGGCGGTGGAAATGAAGATTAAATTCGAATGAATTTTAAATTAGGGTTCATGATATGCGCGTCACATTCTAGATCTTGTGTTTGTTTTTTGACACTCTCAGTAGTAGTTCTGCGCCAATATATGGCATGTTATTGCTGAGCGTACATGTGTACGTACATACATGGTGAATACATCAGCCCACAATGCAGGGAATTATTTTTTGTGTAAATACAATTCAATTAATGCATAAAAACTCCATTGTTTTTCAGTTTTTTTTTTTTTTTTTTTTTTTTTTTTGTGAGTTATAAATGCATTAAAAGAAAACAATGTGTAGGAAGTTGCAAAAAAATGTATATAATCATTTTTAGGCCAAGTCCGTAGATCAATATATTATATTTGACAGACTTTTGCAAAAATTGATATGTAAATAACTCTCAAAGTGCTTTCGAAAATCGGAAAATAATTCAACTACCGGAATGCTAGGAAAGGCCTTAAAATTAAATATTCTAAATTGGACAACAAAATTTACAATAAGTTATTCTACCACATTCTACTACAATTTATATATTTAGTATATACAAACAATTTTCGAAGAAATGTTTTGATTTTTGATATTTTTACGATATCAAACCAGTAAGGAAATGAAAATTCACATACAGCACAGCACACTTACATCTACTTTGATGGAAGTATATATAGGAGCTTTATCTAAATCGTCCACAATTGACAGAGGATGTATCTGACATCTTATCAATATTATTCTGGGTGAGATAAAAAAAACTGCAACAAATTCAAACGCCATCATTTTTATGTTTTTAATTTTTTTTTTAATTTTATTAAATGAAAGTAAAAACTGTCGGAAATAGCATCAAATTTTAAAATAAGTTCAGATTTGTTTGAATTGGTCACCTTTGGCTCGAATTATGGCCTTTAAACGCCCAATGAAACCGTCACACGCTGCCCGAATGTTGCTCTTCGGCGAAGTGCTTGCTTGAGGTAATCAACCCTTTGTATTTTTTGGTGCCAACCTTGCTTTCCAAAATACTCCAGACACAATAGTCCAAGGGATTGCTATCCGGAAATTTTGATTGCCATTGTGCGCTGAAAATGAAGCGAGGAACCTCATTTTGTAACCATTCTTGGGTGGCGCGTGCTGAGTGCGATGGTGCTGAGTCCTGTTGGAATGGCCAAGGTCTGCGGCCAAAATGTTTGCATGCCCAAGGCTTTAATACACCCTCCAAAATATTTTCGCGATAAAATTCAGCATTTATCCTGATGCCACGGTAGATTAATACGAGCGGAGAGCGACCATTGGCTGTTATGGCAGCCCACACCATCATCATGCCCGGCGCTTGAGTTCTGGTGGCCTACCGAAGGTGTACATTTTCAGCTGACCTCTTTGGCAAGTAAACACGATCATTTTGTTTGTTTACAAACTGCTGGACAACGAATGTTTTCTCATCGGAGAAAACCAAATTCGGCAATTCACCACTTTAGGCCAAGGGAAGCAAGCTCTATTGAGTCTATTTTCTTTCCGTTGCGGTGTAAGTTTTTGCATTTTTCTGAATATCAAAGGCTTTACATCGAGCTCATTATTCAAAATTTGCCGAATGGAATATTGCGATAAGTTCAGCTCACGAGCCATTTTTCGACCACTGCGACAGGGTTTCGATCAAGTCGCTTCTTTACTTTTCGAACCATTTCTGCTGAAGTTGCTGTTTTCTTCCTTGCACTTCCTTGACGTCGGGCTACGCTGCCAGTATCACGGTAACGAGCGATGGTACGAGACACAAAAGATTTATTCACTTTTAAATGCTGGAGTGCTCTGACGATAGCCACTTGTGGTTTTCCAGCCAAATATAAGTAAATCACACTATCGCGCTTGAATTCCATCACGAATAACTCTTTTTCTGGAAAATTCTCACCAAAATGCTCGCTTGGATTTATATAATTTGTTTTTATATATATATATATATTTTTTTTTTTTTTTTTGAACTTTCGAGGGGAGGTACTAGAAAAAGTGGAGCGATATAATCCATTTTAAATTTTTGATCTGAACTTGAAAAAATTTTTGGGATATACAATTTTTGAAGCAAACTTCGAACCATTGTTATTTAAAATATTGACCTATTCTGCTGGCGGTACGAACATTAGTGGGACTTCAAAGAGCCTCTCTGTACAAAATTCCTTACTATACATCCACTGCATACATTTAACATAGAAGTCTTTGCAATTGAGCAGTTTATCTCTTGATTAGGTGATGAAATTCCTTTGCCAGCAAAATTAAAACTAACGGAAACTCAGATGGTATCGTTATGTAGAGGTTATGTCAGAACAACAATTGCTTTGTTTTTTTATTTTTTATTTTTTATTAAATACTTTTATTGCTTAATACTATACTTGCTTACACCGGTTAATGTTATTCTATTCTTTCATTTTAGGGTGGAGAAAAATTACATGCTCAATTGGAAATATGGAAATTGACTCACTCCGATAATTACCATCTAAATTCAATCAACAGCTGCACACACCAACAAATGTGGACTCAAAATTCTATGCCTGCACCATACAGTCAAGACATGGAAGAAGATACCGAAGGTAAATTTAATTGTGGATTTAATTTTATTTTGCCACTTCAATAGAGTAGAAAAAGAAAAATTTATTTTTCTGGCCAATGCAAATGTTTTTCTTAAATAATTTTATTTTCTGTGAAATGTATGGCTTCTTTCGGTGGGCTTCTGTGGTTAAAAGTTCGAATTCTGCAAAATAATAATCGAAATATTTTGTAAATTAAAAATGCTTATTTTAGTAAATCGCTCATAAGTCTACATGGACGATTTATTTAGAAGGCAAACAATTGTTGCCTCAAAAAATACGTTTAAAATCACTTAACATTGTCAACTCAATTTATTGGCTTTTTCTCATGTATTTCTTTAAAATGCCTAAAATCATTTTTTTATTTTATATAAATTTATTTAATTTTTATTTATACATCTCTTCTAAACTAGACGAAGATGATTTTCTTCCCAACGACAATCACACACCGAGTACGGGAAATAACCTCAACGGCCAGTATATGAACAATGAAAGTGCTACAACAAATGGTGGTGGTGGTGGTGCTGGTGCCAATCAAATGGTACCACCCATAAAACGTGCTGGAGCACGGAACGGAGGATCTCACATACATTTATGGCAATTTCTAAAGGAGCTCTTATCTGCACCGCATATTAACGGTACTGCCATCCGTTGGATTGATCGCAGTAAGGGTATTTTCAAAATCGAAGATTCTGTTAGAGTAGCTAAACTATGGGGAAAACGTAAAAATCGTCCAGCTATGAACTATGACAAATTGTCACGTTCGATACGTCAGTACTACAAGAAGGGCATTATGAAGAAGACCGAAAGATCCCAGAGACTGGTATATCAGTTCTGTCAACCCTATCATATGTGAATGCGAAGGAGCATCTGCCGATTCTCATGTGGATGGATGTTTGAATATTTATTGAACAAGAAAAAAAAAAACAAGAGAAAAATATTTATTTATTTATTTTAGTTTAAGATTATTTATTAAAAAACTTTATTTATTGCATATTTATTGAAATATTTATTTATTTATTCCATTATTTATTTATTTATTTTCCACACAAAATATTATTTATAAAAAAATCACAATATTTATTTATTTATTACCATAATTTAAGTGATGAATGTGCGAATATTAGCTTTAAGTTTATTTATTTATTGAAAAGCTTATTTATTTTTGTTAACTTTAAATATGAAAAACAGTAATAATTAAGGGACGTAGATCTAGAGACCAGGAATGAGATAGTTCATTTTTATATCCAAAGGATAGAGTTCATTTTAGTGAATTTATTTTCAAAGCACGAAAAGCTTTGCTTTAAGGCAATGAAAATTGATATGAGGGGATGGCAATCGAATGGCAAAGTCAGCCTAAAATCTTTAGAAATTTCAATGAGCTGAAGCTAACATAAACTCAAAAAAGTATTCAATTCTTGTAAAAGTGGAATTCCACATTCCAGCATAAGCATTTAAGACTCAACACTCTATTATGACATGTTTGTACACTAGCTTCCGTACGGAATGAAGTAAGTGGAAACATTAAGCTGAAATATTTTAGGTCCTCAAGGCTCTTGGAATTAAAAATCGGACATATAGGCCCGGTGGGACATATAGCCACCAAATAGCAATACTATCCGATTTAAGATGTTTTTGGCATTTGCTGTAAATTGGCACTTTACACTCCCAAACTACAAAAATCATTCTTCCAAATTGGGTTATAGATTCCATATAACAGTACCTTTCGATGATATTCGGAATTTTCTAAAAGTTGGTATTTGGAGTTCACAATAATTCTCACCTTCTGCATATAGGCCACGCTTCCGTATAGCCCCAAAAAATGGAACCTCCCGAATCATACCTATATTTTTTAATAGAATTGTTTAAGCTTTGGTTTTCAAGGTGGTAGTAGGTATCATCCACTTTAGACGATTATTTATATGGCCCCAAGTTTTTGACAGCCCTTGTATAACGGCACCCCCTATTTTAGATTATTATAGTCACATTTTTCAATTCTTTTATATATTCCTTTTATTTCGTAATCCCATTTTTTCTAAAATATTTAACAAGAAGTCGATTAGTGTATCTTATAATTGCATATAAATTTGCAGATTTGCTTTATTTTTTATATAAGATACATCTAACTGGAATACAATCGCTTTTATAATTTATTTATCTCGGTTTGTACATTTTTACCCCATTTAATGTTACTGATGTTTTATTTCCATTTATTTGGCACAAAAACTCCTCTCGTGAGAAAAAAAAACAGTCGCCCATGAGAGTTGATTAAAAGAAATTGGCCAATATTACCCACCTTTGTTGGCTTCAAACTTAGTGGGAAAAGTGCTTCACGCCTTTTGTTACATCCCACACTAGAGGGCAAATTTTCAAAAAATAAAGGAAAACGCATTAAGTTCAGTCTTTGAGTTAGTCTCTTCGGCGACTTTGTGTACCTTCCACCATTTGGAAGGAATTTGTAAATTTTCAAAAAAAAAAAAAAAAAATATGTTGAAAAATACAGCTAAAATACTAAAACTACGTAATATAACGAGTTACCTTCATATTGGGCCTATACGAAGACGTAGACAATTACGATATTCATATACCAAACTTGATACAATTCAGGTGAATATTGGCGCTAAAATGATCAAAATACCGAAAATAGGGAGATACCTGTATATGGGGGCTATACAAAATCGTTTACTTATTTATCTTCCAAATTTGGCACATTTCCGGGAAAAAGTGTGACAAAAATCATAAAAATAAGGAATATCTGGAGGTACAGTCATATGGGGACTATACCAGAATCTAGACCTATATTGACAGTTTTTTGCATAGTTATTTCTTACATTATAGGCACACCTGCTGCCAATTTACAGTAAATTCATGCTAAAAATGTCACCCAAAAAAAAAAAACTTAAATCTGTCGGTACAGTTATATGGGGATTTTAAATACCAAATTTCCCGCAGGCCTAACACACATCTGAGTAACGGGAGGTACCGTTATATGGGGGTTATACGAAGACGTGGACCTGTACACACAATTTTCTGTCGAAGGCTGTAATATCCACTACGAACTTCAAATACCAAATTTGAAACCAAAATACCGAAAAAAAGGGAGGTACCATTATATGGGGGCTATACCAAAACGTGGACCTACATCACACATTTTTAATATCAAAAGTTCTGCAGACATAATATACATTTGAGTGAAAATTGATCAAAAAACTTCATTTCGTTGGGAAACTAGACTGATTTCCACAGACAGACGGACATCGCTAAATCGACATAGAATTCTATGCTGATCAAGAATATATATACTTTGTGGGGTCTAAAACGTATATTTCGAGATGTGACAAACTTAATATACCCTCCATACTATGGTGGAAGGTATAAACAATTCAAACCCGAAAAATCTTTCATAAAATATGCTGTACAAAATCGTGGAGCTAAATTGAGCATATTCTGCATAGAGTATTTCAATCACAGAAACCAAAAAATACCAAATTAAATTAATGACTTAAAAATTTTAGTATAGCACCCAAAGCCGTTGTTGGGACTAAATGTAAGACTTCAATTTAATTTTTGAATAAAGTTGTGTTAGTAGTTTGCATATACAATTTACCAACGATTTGTAATGCATATATCCTACAGAAAATTTTAGAAATTATTATTTTTCTATGTATTGAAAAGTAATAATTTATATGATTTTGCCTTGACCAAATTCAGACATTGAAAATATATGCCTCCCTTTTCTGTGACTTGCTTAATTCCAATTTTTTGTTTTATTTAAATTTTTGTAAATGTTAATTTGCCAAACAAAGATAACAAGAAAACATATTCATTTGCAACAAATAGCATTAAATTGATATAAATGTTTACGATAAAGATATGTCATTCCTGGTCATAAATATGATTATTCAATAACAGTCTCAGTAGCATGTTTCGCCGTTTTTTGATTCGTGTTTAAGCCAAAACGTAATAGAATCAAATAAAATAAAATGTGTAAATAACCAAACAAACACACAAATACACGATGACAACAACAACAACATCAACGAAAGAGAGCAGAAGAGAAAAACGTTAAACTTTATTAACCAAATGTTAAACTAATTTGTTTTAAATGAATAAATATATCCATGATATATGATTTGTAAACAAAAACGACAACAAAAAAACGCGAAATAAAATACGCATACATAAATAAGTTCTATGAACCAACAAATATTTGCCGAACACAAATACGTTGAAAGTGACATTTTCTAAAATGCTGCAATTGTGCAAACACTTGCTAGCGTTTTTTTTTATGTAAATAGTTGACAAACAAAAACCCAGTGTTATAAAAATAAGAATTGAACACAAATCTGCCATACTCAAACATTCTGTAAGTCTAACTTTATATGAGAGCAACACATGGGCTGGGTAATACAGAATCTTTGTGGAGCAATATAATTAAAGTTAATTATAGACATCTCCTCAATTAACAAGTCACTAATTAAATTGGGATCATTAATTTTCAGCCCATGTGTAGGACATATAAAACAACATAACAATTATTTATTCATTTATTTATTACAAGCATAAGGTGTCGGTTATTTATTTGTGTAAAAAACTATTTTTATTTAAAAACAAAAATGGGTTTATTTATTTGTTTCCAAGAAGTGCTCTTAAGGAATACAAAATTAATTTATTAAATAATTTAATTTAATAACTTATTTATTTATTTTAAGGGAATTCCTTTTTTCCTCAAGCAATACATACCATACATTTTCAATTTTTGCATTTAAGAAAATCAACAAATTGCCAATTAAATTATTTATTTATTTATTCCAGGTTAAGTAATAATTTTTGTGTATCACATAATTTGTGTAACACAAGTCAAAGATAACAATTTATTTATTTATTTGATTCATTTTGCAATATGAAACCATTGTTGTGTGCCTAAATATTTGTATAATATTTTTTTTAATATTTATTTATTTATTTCGCCAATATTTATTTAATTTATTAAATAATTTTATTTATTTGTTAATTATTTATTTGCTACACAAACAATAAATATATATAAAATTATCCCTATTTTATAATAGAAATATATTTCTCCGATTTTGAAAATCATGTGCATCTAATATTTCTATTCTAAAATACTTTGGGATAATTGATAAACTTTTATACTCAACAATCGTTTGCCAACATCACCTTGATGTGCGATGAGTGCTTATTTATTTCTAGCTTTAGTTATTTATTAAAAACAATAAAACGATTATTTATTTATTTATTTAAAATAATTTATTCTCTACTTATTAATTTTTTTCTATTTATTTCCATTTCTGTAACTTAATAATTTATTAAATAAAGTTTCCATTTCTAAAAAAATGTTTAAATGTCATTATTTTATGTTTAGCGGAAATGTACAAATATGTCAAAAGTCGGGCGAAATGACTATACGACCACTGTGCATGTTTAGTAGATACGACCACTGTGCATGTTTCATAAAAAAGTTTATATTCGATACCAATATGACTTCGATAAGAATTATACTAAAAACAAGTAAGCAAAGGCTACAGTCGAGCGGGGCCGACCGTTGAATACCCTACAACACTATAATAAACCATACAGTTTATATAGGCGAAATACTCGACAGAATTCCACAAGATATTGTGACAAATAACAAAAGAAAACCATCAGGTACCGTTCTCTAATTTTCGAATAATAGCAACTTAAACTAATTTGCTCATTTCCAATTTATTGGTAGATGTTGCACGTAAATGGTCTTCCTAGATCTGGAACCAATATTTCCCAAAGATCTATAACCTCTCAGAAGTGGCAAAAGATTAACATTTATTATTGGTTTTTGACTGAAACGCATCTATATGAGATACAGACATTTGACTACATTCTTCAACGAAATCAGCGTTAACGAAATAGTCGGAAGTGCGTCTTTCCTGTATTTGTGAATTTTCCAAAAAGTCACTGGAATGGACATTTTCGTATTTTGTCTACAAAAGTTAGCAAACTATTTCACACATTGAATATTTTTGGATGGCCATCCGAAACTGCTTGGCTTTTGTAATGTCCGGTAACCCCCATTCAAATGTGCGTGAGGATCGGGCAATAACTACGACCTGCAGACAATTTTGCAGTTTTTTGGTCCATTTCAACCCCTTAATATATGGCGATCATCTCCAAAAAGAGTAGGCTTCTATTCTGACCCTCATTTATCCCCATGCAAAATTTCGTAAGGATCGGGCCATAAATGAGATCTGTATATGATATCCTGATATCCTAACTACTTAGTTTTGTTAGCTGTAGAAATATTACCAAATGTTTAATTCAAAATGAAAATATTGCCAAAAATATGACAAAATTGAAAAAATATGAGAAAATTTTACAAAATCAATATTTTCATCTTTAGAGAGATATTTTTATGCGATTTTTTAGACTTTTTTCTTTCCTGCCAAGAGGCCATTCTGAATTAATGAGAACTGTCGAAATCAGTTCAGCCGTTCTCGACATATAATTGCGACCTGTAGAGTGATTACAAATTAACATGGACAGATGCACAGACGGACAGACGGACATACATAGCTAGATCGACTCAGCTCGGCGAGCTAGGAAGATCCATATATACTTTCCTATGTGGGAAACCAATATTTCGAGGTGTTACATAATTTTTGGTCCAATCAAACTTATAATACCCCCAACACATTGTGTTGTAGGGTATAAATATTTATTGGAGCAATAGATATACCGGACCGAGTTTCACCAAATGTTAAAATTCTGTTGAATATGAAAAAATCTATTGAATTTGGGCTGAAATTACATATATGGTGAACAATAACCGTAAAATCGGATGAAGATGTATATCGAAGCTATAAAAAAATCTAAACCTATCTCGATAAAAATTGTCAGAGGTATTTTTGAGCTCCATGAGTTATTTGGTACCAAATAATTATGTGAGGACTTAAAACCCATATGTATGGGGCATACATATGGGGGCTATATCTGAATCGACTTTCACCAAATTTTAAGTACTTGTTTCTAGGATGAATTTTATCGGAATAGACAAAAATTAGTTCATTTGGTACACAATAAGCCTGATGTCGGATTAAGGTAGGGTAAGTGTACCAGTAGTCGGCACTTTTAGGATTTTCGCGTTTTTAATCGCTCACCATTCTGAGTGGAACATTTCAATTATTACAAAGTTCATTTATTCAGATTCGAAATTTTGTTTAGTTTTTGCAATAATAAATAAAGTTTTAATAACTTTTTATTAAATTTCATAAATTTGTAGTTTTATTAAAACAATGCTTTTTTGCCAGTAGTCGGCACCACTTGCTAATTGTCGGTATGGCATGTTCCAACAGTCGGCATACCAATTTTTTTGTAAGAATAATTAATAATAATAATAAATTAATTCATTAAAATATAATATTTTTGTTTAGTTAAACTGATTCGACGCCTTTATTGTACTTTTCTTAAGAATATGAATTGTTGAGGACCTTCACAGACAAAAATTTAATTTTTATTAGAATAATTCATCTTTTCTTAGCTAAATTGTGCACAAAGATAGCTGACAATATATTTGAAGTAAACAAAATACATTTGCTACAAAATACAAAATACATAGTTTCATTTATTTGGGCTTAAAAATAAAAAGTGCCGACTACTGGGACATGCCGAACTTAGGCACACTTACCCTATATATGGGAGGTATATCCAAATCTGATTCGATTTTTGAGCTCCATAAGTTATCTGGTATCAAACATCATCCTTCTGCACTATATTACGTATGTGAGGGACTTAAAACCTTAAATCAGATGAAACATATATATAGGAGCTATAGCTATATATTGGAGTTCAATAAAATGCTGAATACGACAGATCATTTTCGATAAAGACATAATATGTTTAACTATACCTTTCACCACATACAAGTATTTGAAATTTGACGAAAATCGGTTCATGTACTTGTTTCTGAGATATATTACCAAAATTCAGTTCATTTAGAGATATATGTGGAAGCTATATTTAAATTTGAACCGATTCTCACCAATTTCAATAGGGTTCCTCCTTGGGCTAAACAAACATTGTTTTGAAAATATCATCTCAATCGAATGATCAATGTAGATCACATGCACAGACGGATAGACATGCATAAATCGACTCAAAGTAATTTTATGAAGATTCTCAAAAGTAACTTAGGGTCTATGTGGCTTCCTCCTCCATGTAACAAATGCACAAAAACATAACACATTTAACAGTATGTGGTGTAAGGTACAATTAACCATATGATGTCTTAATCGATAATGATCTGTCGTATTCAGTATTGGATTGAACTCTAATATATTTTATATGCAGGGTGAGATGAAAAACAGCAACCAAATTCAGACTGCTGTCATTTTTAAGCCACTCGTCCGACAGCTGTTAAAATTATTCCAGTGAAAGCTCAATATATTGTTTACAAGCAAACAAAAGTATTTTGGTGAGAATTTTCCAAAAAAAAGTTATTCGTGATGGAATTCAAGGGTGATAGTGTGATTTCTTTATATTTGGCTGGAAAACCACAAGTGACTATCGTTAGAGCACTCCAGCATTTAAATGTGAATAAATCTTTTGTGTCATGTGCCATCGCTCGTTACCGTGATTCTGGTTGCGAAGCCCGACCTCAAGGAAGTGGACGGAAGAAAACAGCAACATCAGCAGAAATGGTTCGAAATGTAAAGAAGCGACTTGATCGAAACACGCGTCGCAGTGGCTCGTGAGCTGAACACAACGCAATATTCCATTCGGCAAATATTGAAAAATTCGCTGGAGGTAAAGCCATTGAAATTCCAAAAAGTCCAAGAACTTACACCGCGGCAGAAAGAAAATCACTCAAAAGAGCAAAAGAGTTGCTTGGCTTGGCCGAATTTGGTTTCTTCGATGAGAAAACATTCATTGTCCAGCAGTTTGTATAAGAACAAACAACATGATCGTGTTTACCTGCCAAAGAGGTCAGCTAGAAATGTACATCTTCGGTTGGCCACCAGAACTCAAGCGCCGGCCAGGGTGATGGTGTGGGCAGCGATAACAGCCGATGGTCGCTCTCCGCTCGTATTAATCGACCGTGGCATCAGAATAAATGCCGCATATTATCTCGAAAATATTCTGGAGGGTGTATTATAGCCTTGGACACGCAAACATTTTGGCCGCAGACCTTGGACATTCCAACAGGACTCAGCGCCATCGCACTCAGCACGCGCCACCTAAGAATGGTTACAAAATGAGGTTTCTCGCTTCATTTCCAGCACACAATGGCCACCAAAATCTTCAGATACCAATCCGTTGGACTATTGTGTCTGGAGTATTTTGAAAAGCAAA